GCAGCAGCAGCAGCAGCAGCACCAATAGTAGCCCATATGCCTAATAGTCGCCATGTCGTCGCCGTCGTCACCGCAGTAGCATCAGCACCAGAAGCAGCGGCAGAACCAGAACGGGGGCCGGACAAGGACCAAAGTACAATAGGAGCAGTAATTCGGTTGAGGGTTTAGGGTTTAGGGTAATGCTTGAAGATGCTCTCTATGCATAGTACTGCATCGTAAGTCAGTGTGATAGTGACACAGGCAGTAAAGCGCTCATGTCGATTTTGCACAAAGGACCCGAGATTCGATGGTGATGCTGAGACTGGCCATGCTCAAGTGCAAGGATGAACCTTATGCATCATCATACACATGTTGATCCTCATGCTGACAATTCCTCTTGAACATCTTGCTCATGATGGTGGCACAAACCCTAAGGGTCCAAAGGACCCAATAATTAGGTACTTTGGCTACGGGTACTAGTTCTCTATGTTAAAACTTGGGTGCGTATATGATTGTTAGGTACTTGGACCCGTAGAGAAGCCTTTGAACCCCAAACTCTGCTGGTAACAGCTGATTTTCTTACAGCATGCCCATAGGCCCCATAGTAGCTCCTTTTTGGGATTACCTTAGAGGATTCTAAATATGAGCCTTAAAAAGGAACTACTATGGGGCCTATGGGTGCAGCCATCAGTCAAGAGCCGCACGCTGAAGGCTAAGCCAACCGAACCTGGCCGTGACATAATACAGGGGCCTAAATAATTCGAATAGGGTTTTGTGGCCCTTATTCTATACTTATAATAAGGAACCCCCCCAAAAAGAATATTATCATTATTTTAGGCCCCTACATTAACCTTAAACCCTCAACCGGTTCCGTGACATGGGATTGACGCCTTAGAGTTTCGCGGACAAGGTCGTGTCGGCTTCGGGCTCGAGGGCCCACGAAGGCTTCGGGTTCCGAGAGGGCCCCAGAAGGCTTCGGGTTCCGAGGGCCCCAGACAGGGTTTAGGGTTTAGGCTTCGGGTTTGAAGGGCTTCGGGTTTCGAGGGCCCCGGGAAGGCTTCGGGGTCAAGGTTTGAGAACGTCCGAAGGTCGGAGTTAGGGAGGTGTAAACGATAAAATGCTCAGATGGAGGTGGGGCTTGCTGAGTCCCCTTTTGGGGGTTTGGAGGTTCGACGTAGGAGTTTTTGCAGTGCCGAGTTTTGAGGGTTCTACGACGGGTCTAGGGCTTAGATTTCTGAGGGCCGTACTTAAGGCTTAAAGCCGTCGGGCTTGTGGCTGCATTTAGACCCTGAGCCCTGCACCCTAAACCCTAATGTCAAGGAT